TATATATATATATACACACACACATTATATATATATATATGAAGAATAATATTGTTGTCCAACATTATTGAACAACAGATGATGTGGAAGAAGAACTTAACCTGAAATCTATCCTACTTTGGACTTTACTTCTAACATAATATAAATAGGATCGAATCCCTTCACTTCCCTGGATTTCCATTTCTTTACCAGATGAAATGATTGATCTCTAGAACCTCACCAGTCTATAACTAAAAGGCACCATTACATTGATATCATGTTTTAAAAAAATTTACTGGTGTTTTTTTTCCTCGGTTTATTTCCTCATATTTTAAGATTGGAAAATTTTTTTCAGACTTTAAAATATACTACAGATTTCTTACATGGCTGGACTGTCTCACCTTGAAATCTGTTTTTCTCGGGGAAACAGTCTTCCAACAGACAGCTCTAGACACATCATCCTGTATTCTTACCTTCAATTTCTCCTTCCTGCACCTAAAATCCTCAGTGCTATCCCCTGTCAGCCTCCCCACTCCCTGCCCTTTTCTGGCCTTTACCTTTCACTGCATACCTGTCACCACCCCCTGAAAATGCCTTGCTGCACCCATCTCCCCGGACATGTTTGGCTGCTTCTCAAGCAGGATCATTATGTGCCTCTAAACTTTCCTCCCACCACCACCACCCATTCATCTTCATTTGGTTGTCTAGTTAAACTCTTAATACCTAAAATGATCACCTGCTGCTTCCTTCAGAAGCCTTCAACAGCTTCAAAGCCTCCGTACTCCTGTTGCTTCTCCTGCTACACAGTGGTACACATCAACTCCCCCACACAGAATGAGCTGCTTGAAAGCAAAGACCAAGTAATATATCTCTGCATCTCTTATGAACGTAGACGGTATTTGCAGAATGAGAAGGATTTTTGTAGGAGGTAAAATCCATCTATACATACATATTTAATTCATATTTTGTATTCCTCCTACCTGCAGAAGCATTATTTCAGGTAATGCCTCTGATTTCATCATTTACCATATTTAATGCTCAACTTCCTTTTTTAGAAGATCATGTGTGTTTAAACATGCCATAGTTTCAAGAAGCATCACCTATATCACTTTAGTAACTATTATGCCAAACCTGGAATTTGATAGATTTAAATGATATAAAATTATATTAGTTGATTGAGTTAATAAATGTAATTATATTATTATGTATTTTTTAGTATGTGTGAAAATTATACCAGTATTTGGCCTTCATTGATAACATACATATGCACATTACACCCACTCAGTTGTTTCATTATTTCTGAATTTTGAGAAATACATGATTATTTTTCTTTCCCCATACTTTGCCCCCAGCAGGCTGCTGTGATTGTCAACAGCAGCAGGAGCCACTTTGAAGGTTTGATAAAAGCAGATGAAGATGCTTAAAGAGGTCTATTTGCTGAAAATATCTGGTAACAAACAGGAATATATGTGAGTAAATATAGTGTGTTATCCTGATTTTTAAAAATAAATGTTATTTTTAAATGCCTAACTGGTTGTTTTCAAGGATTGTTTTTTTCCTGGTGTGGTTTTGAGTTAAAGATGCTAATAAAAAGTTTACAATTTTAAAAAAATCTTGACCTTTATTTCTCACACTTAAAATAGAAACTGGCTTAATTTAGGGCATTGCGTTTGATGCCAAGAATTCTACTTTTTAACCATAATTGTGACTTTATGGTTACTCCCTATTAACTCAGTTATTCTTTCTCACTAAAAAGGATGGATAACTAATAATTAGTGATGAGCATGCTTACTGGCTGGGATAGAAGGGGAAAATAAAATTGAAATTAATTTAAATGTTAGAGAATTAGTCCTTTCTGATACTACATTCCACTTTGGTTTCCTTCTTGGCACTCATATGATAATTTCAATTGTTATTTCTTGGTCTCTATTGGCTGTTTCTTTGCTGCCACATCCTTAAATTTTGGCTCTTCAAGGTTCTTTTCTTGGACCTCTTCTCAATTTTCACTCTTTCATTAGGAAGAGCCTCATGTTTCTGTGATTTCAGCTACTATCCTTAGGCTGGCAATCTGTATTTCTGGTCCCTACTCATTT